AATCCATTACCTCGTGCCGCCTACGTACTTGCACATATCATACACACGACGATTATTTAAAAAAAATTGATGCGCCCCGGGATAAAACCGGGACAATTTTGAAAATGTCACAAGGAGGGTGTTTTCGCGTCAGTTAGTCTCACCAGACAGACCCGATGTTTGGAAAGATAACGACACAATTTGAAGGCTTTCCGGGGCATTGCGCAATTTTATAAAAACCGAGATATTTTGCCCTCCTGCTAGACATGCATAGTGAATGTCTAGGCACAGAATCCTGACATGGATGCCGTTTTGAGGATTGTTAAACCTGGAAAGTGGTTGGAAATGTCGCTTTATGGGGGCTTCGCTGGCAAGCAACGAGATCGCTCCTTAAAATATGCCGTTTCCAGCTGGCACACCAAAGAGGAGAGAGAAGGGCCAGGGCTGGTGGAACACGCAGGGAAGTATCCGCCAGATGCGTGTCAGTGTGGAAATCGTGACTGGCTGTTCGGAAGCAAGTAATGCTGATGGTTTTTTCTCTCTCGTTCTTCAGGTTTGCTGACATTGCTGCAACCATCCCAAGTGAGTCCGTCGAGAAGGACTGGCTCCCTCCATTGAAGTGTGCACATTAACCATACCAAATTGGTCTTTTTAAATAAAATTGAAAAGATCAGAGAAATACAAGGAGACCTCTGCACACAATATGGATTCGCTCCAGGCCTTTGTTTCCCAACCTTTGAAGGGCTCAGCTGCCAACCCTCACAACGAGGCTTTGCGAGGGCAGATTCAGCGTGCGCTTGACTTGATCTGTACGGTCCTAACTCTTTTCCCCCTCGAAATGCTGGCGCTGACGTTCAACGGAGGAAAAGATGCCTGCGTGGTTTTTCATTTGGTGCGACTTGCGCTACGGTTGCGAGGCGTCGCAGAAGGAGAGGCTAGCGGGCGACTGAAAGTCCTTTACTTCTCGCCCGAACACGGGGATTTTCCAGAAGTAATCTCGTTCATGGCCAAAATATCCGAAGATTATCATGTCACGTACACGACCTACCCCGCGGGGACCTCTTTCAAGGACGGGATGCGGGACCTGGTGGAGAAACAAGGATTGAAAGCCGTCTTCCTGGGCGTCCGGCGGGGTGACCCCCATTCGTGTGCGTGGAAGAGGGGGGGAGGGACGGAAGGGAGGGAGGGAG